CTGATCGCAGGTGCTGCGTCAGAGTAAATGGCGTTAAGTCGAAGTCTTTCAGCGCTGGCACTGGTCTCCGCCAAAGATGCATTCCGCCCCTCTACTGGTTGTGTTATACATGGCTAGAATTGTACGTCACGAGCAATCAAGGTGTGATGAGTGCAACGTTGCAGGAGATAACGAGACGAGAAGGTTGCTGTCTGTGACGACCTCGTTTTATTGGTACCTTCTGTAACTGAATTACAGCGTTCTCCGGAAAGGTTAGCGGCTGAATGCAACGTGGTCGGCATGCATGTGAACGTATCTAAAATGAAACGGGTACTTATCGTTCTAAAGTCCACTACTTCCTTCAGATTAACGGAGAAGCAGCGGAGCAAATGGAGAAGTCCAAGTACCTCGGAATTGTACAAGTGATGGAAAATTGGAGGAAGAGATCGACCGGCGAATTGGAGTAGCCAGTGGCGTTCTGTGTGAACGTACCAATCCACCGTGACTAAAGCAGAGCTCAGTCTGAAAACTAAGCTCTCGATATTCAAGTCGATCTTTATCCCCATGCTTACATGCGCTCATAAGTCGTCGACGAAGACTGAAAAACTTCGATCACGGGTACAAGCTGCTGAAATGGGCTTTCACAGACGAGTTGCCGGCCTTGCGCGTCTCGACATGGTCCGGAACACTGTCATCTGGAAGAGTCTTTGTATACAGCCGCCGCATCTTTAGATTGCGAAGTCACTTTTGCGGTCAAGTGAGCGTGTATTGCTAATCCCTCCAAAAAGGAAGACGAAGCAACTATCTGTTGCCTAGCCGACCAGCAAAGGGCCGAGAGGACGGCCAAGATCAACCTGATATAGATATATGGTAGGAATCAACTCTAGACTCTATTTGTCTTCTGCCAAAGCTGAGATTTTGGCACAGAATCGGGAAGGCTGGAAGCACTGTCTGATGCGTTTTCCTTCGCGATCACAAAGAAATGGCCATGGAAGATGAAGAATTGGTAAAAACAGCTCAGCAGTTACTGCACGCAATAAGGGCATGTCAAGTTTATTTCAGCTTAGCTATATTTGCAAATTGCTGTAATTGCGTAACAAATAAAATAAACAAAGAACCAAGAAAAAAGGAAATCTAAGAAAAGTACAGTGGTGGGTATAACTTTTACCTTTGCTACCATGGATCGCGACTGCTTCAACGCCCTTCAGTAACAGATATTCGTGTATTTTGTCGACATCATCTTTCTTCTCAGCAAATATCAGTACCTGAAATAGGTCAAATCTAAACAAGGCAATTTAGACGATAATACCAACTGGAGGAGCTGTTTTCTGTAGACAATCCAAGATGTGCACCACTTTCTCCTCCTGCCGCACGTACTCGACCTTTAAAAGAAGTCCAATTTATCGGTGAAAGAATATATTAGGGAACGTTACTTCTTGTCTGACGTTCATGTTTGCCGCTCCAGCGCGGCCTACATTCAACACCACAGGCCAGACCAATGCGCTCTTTGCGAAGTTCTGTATCTTTCTGGGCATCGTCGCCGAAAATAGCAGAGTCTGACGTTGGCCCTAAACAAGATAAAATAACATTCTCTAAAGCTTACAATAATAAGGTTTGTTGCTTATCCAATAATCAGATA